GGGCAGTTAGTTTAGCGTGAAAGGAGAAGAAAGAAGGGGCATTACATGCAGCTAAGGACTCTAGGTTGGAATTAAACCCGTGGCCGCTGCGGCAAGGAAGCCTTTGAAAATGGGGCGCCTGCTCGACCAGGTGAGCTAATGGGCTCCACATGTATGTCTTCGTAACCAAAATTATGATGTTTTCTCTCAACCCAATCAAGTAGTTTTGTTTCTTTAATTTGACCATGGCCGTTTGACAATGTTAAGCACGTGTTAGAACGTGTTCCCCCAGGAGAAAGCTGTGTGTCACTTACAGATGTTAAATGGTGTGACTCATAGAGACACCAAATGGTGCCTTCTACATTGGTATCACATACCAAACGTTAGTATTTTACGGCTTGAGATGAGAGCATGTTGGAATAATACATGGAATAGATTTCAGACTGTAACCTTAAAGGGATAGTGCACCCAAAAATGAAAATTCACCCATTATCTATGGAGGCTCAGGTGAAGTTTTAGAGTCCTCACATCACTTCAAGGGGAGAGGGGGTAGCAACACAGCTCCACCTAATGGGTGCACAGAGAGGCAGTTAGAGCTACAGGCTACAATGAGGCTAAAAACAGAGTTCAAATGACATTTTTCCAAACAACTTTTGGATCACTTGGATCACTACGGACGAGCAGTATGGAGATATTTTGTGGTTTCAATTATGTGTTTTTGGACGTTTTAATCTGGGGCGCTGTCAGTATCCATTAGGTGGAGTTGTGTTGCTACCCCCCCTCCCCTTGAAGTGATGTGAGGACTCTAAAACTTCACCTGAGCCTCCCTCGGCATATGGGTGAGTAGATAATGGCTGAATTTTCATTTTTGGGTGCACTATCCCTTTAACTGAGTGTCTCAATCACCAATCAGAATCAACTGTTTGTCCCCTTAAGAAATCAGGGCTAAATTCCCTCTTTAATTCTCACACTCTGATTAAACCAAAACAAAAGTGTGTGCTTAAGTTAATTTAAGCATATGTGTGTGTTTCAGTTTGTTTTCAGCTGCTCAACATAATTTTGACTTGATTCCTCAGCTACTGTATGTGCAGAATGTTTGTCAGTGGTGTGTGCACATGCTTTTAATAATGTTGTGATAGTCTGATTCATGGTACATACAGTACATACACTCTGTGGTTGTGGGCATGCTGAGATGTTCATGCTCTGTGTACATAAATCTGATTCTATGTCTGTGCTGGTGTGATGTTGTGTTCTGTAACAGTGTGAGAAATGTATTTCAGAGACAACACTCATGTGAGTGCATTGCACCCTCTTGAGTTGAGACATAAGAACTTCTGTTTCCTTCCTTTCCAGCACAGAGGGCAAAGTTTATTTCACCAACTATGCTGCATATTTATTCATTAATGAGTTTTCTGTACCCGCTTATCCTGTTAGGGGTCGTGGGAGGGCTGGAGCCTATCCCTGCTCACACTGGGTGAGAAGCAGGGTACAGTACACCCTAGACAGGTTGCCAGACTATCACAAGGTTGACACACAGAGACAGACAACCATTCACACTCACATTCACACCTACGGACAATTTAGAGTCACCAATTAACCTGCATGCCTTTGGACTGTGGAAGGAAGTGCCTGGTGAAAACCCACACTGACACGGGGAGAACATGCAAACTTGGCACAAAAGGGCTCCCCCAGGTTCGAACCGGGAACCCTCTTGCTGTTAGGCTATATATAGGCTATATATATATAGGCTATATATATTTGAGTATTTCTTATCTCAATGGCCATGGCATGAAAGACACTTTTGAAATGGCTGCTGGTGTGACAATGGAACTCCCTGCTCCATTTTGTTTATAATTTTATCAAAAAAAGTCGTTAAAATGTTTTATTTTTGAGGCTTTAGTATAACCCTATACTGTATGTATATGCCATATTCATATCCACCATATGGTATTCCTTTTCTCTTACCTGTAATCCATGCTGCGCAGTATGTCTGCTTTAATCTCCAGGATTTAAAAATTCATTATATGTACCTGAAGCTCACACACTCAGCAGCTGTCCTTCTGTCTACCTATGAATGCACAGCAAAACTGGAATATAAAAACACAGACCGCAGGCCCTTCCTGCAGCAAATAAGAAATATTAAGCAATTAAACTCAATACTGACTGTATTTTGCACCCACTTTTCCAAAAACCAGAAAGTCTTATCTTTTTCTTGGCAAACAAAAAAATGAAAGTACTCATTTGTGACAATGAAAAGGGTTCAGAAATATAAATTCTCCCTCCGCTCCACCCCTGATGAGTGTGATCTCCTTAAAACAAATGAAACACAATTTATGTGACACAATAGGCAACTTTGTCTTCTCTAATCGCTGACATGAAGATATCTGGTGACACCTGCTGTGTGAAAACAGTACTGCATGCTATAGTTCTCTGCTCTGATTATGCTGAAGATGTGTTTGAAATGCCCTGGGACAGCAATTTAGAGAATAAGAGAACATATAATTTTCATAATTAATATGATATGATGTATGCACTAGCACTACTTCCAGTTTTTCCTCATGCATTTATACCAGATCTATGTTAGATGGCTTATAACTGATGTATAAACCATTATCAAATACCATCAACAAAGCCATTTGTTAATGTGTGTAATTCTTTATAACAGGAATTTGTTCAAGTTGTACTGAAACACACTGAAAGACATGATAAAAGCATATTTGGTTTCGTTTTGAATAATCATATAGCTGGGTCTTGTTATGCGAAAACCTTTTACTTAGAAAACTTTTTCTGGTTCAATTTCAGAACCACGGCCAGCTCCATTTCAGAAGAACCACGGTCAGCTCGGCCACTAGGATCAGCACCAGGTCAGAATGAGAGACTGTATACAGGGGTGTCAAACATATGGTCTGCAGGCCAAGAATGGCCCACCAAAGGGTCCAACCTGGCCCACTGGATGACTTTGCACATCTAATATTAATGCACATGTGAAGGCGAAGAGGTGTCAGGTTTCAGCAGCAAGTTAAACAGAGTAACCTGCTTCAGAGGCTTTTCCACCCTGACCAGAACACACCTCCCTGAAAAAACAATGAACACTTCATTGTGGTCATATTTAAATATACTGAACATTTTGCAAAATATTGTCAATTTGCTGCTTCAGTACAAAAGAATCTGTATCAGACTTATTGGTGGAGCAGTATTGCTAAGGCACTGCCAAACTTTTGCTTTGTAAATGGTTTGTAAAGCAGAGGATAACTTAACCTGCCTCCTCCAAAGCTTCCACTTTAGTTTGGTGTGAAAATGTGTGGAAAAATGTGTATGGTAGACTAATGAAATGTGGAAAAACAGACATATTGTTGACATTACTCTTTTTTTCTGAGCACATCTCAGGCTGTTCATTGTCTGTTTTGTAAATTATGAACATTTTCAGACTGGACTTGTACTTCTTTGCACATAAAGAAAGGGAAACATTTGGAGTTGCTGTAATTTATAGGTTATCGTGCAGTGGTTTTATTGGTGCGGCCCACTTGAAATCAGATTGGGCTGTGTGGCCCATGGACTAAAAGGAGTTTTACACGCTTGCCGTTAAGGAGGAGGAGGTTCAGGAGGAGAGGTCGACTATCATGAGATCATCAGAGGAAAAACTCAAATTGCAGTTAAACAAAGGGGGGAGCAAACACACGTCATGAAGAAAGAATGATTGAAATGGTGTTCAGGGTTTAAATAGAGGTGAACAGGTGAACTCAGTCAGGTTAATGAGTGAACAAAGAGTGAAAGGAACCAATCAGTGCTGAGGGAAGGGAAGATGAGGAAGTGAGGTCAAGAGGTGCAAAAATAGAAAACTAGGACCTGCTGTATACGATTCATTGTCAGAACCAAGGCCTATTGAGACAGTCTCAATCTCTCTCTCTCTCTCTCTCTCTCTCTCTCTTTCTGTGTGTGTGTGTGTGTGTGTGTGTGTGTGTGTGCAATCCAGTGAATATCAGTCAAACTGATATTGGTCTTTTTGCCGAGGTACCTCAGAGCTCTTAAATTTCCATAAATCAGATTGTATCTGTTGTGCGCTCAAAGGAACATCAATCAAATTGGTGATTTGATAATTTTAGGAATGGCTCTTACCTGTTTTTGCAGTTGAACTCTTCGACTGTGTATAGCCCCTCATCTTTAGAAGATATACTTTATTAATCCCGTGGGGAAATTCAATTTTTGCACTCTGTTGTCATATAAACAAATACACACATGCACAAACAGGGCCATACATGCATTAACTGGAGAGATATCAGGGGGCTGCCTGTGAACAGGTGCCCTAACAGTTGGGGGATTCGGTGCCTTGCTAAGGGGCACCTTGGCAGTGCCCAGGAGGTGAACTGTCCAGCGGTTTGGTCAGGACGGGGACCCTCCAGTTCCCAACCCAAGTGCCTACGGGTCCTTTATAGCCTATGTATTATTGTAGACGTTCTATGTGATATGTTTTCTATAATATTAAAGATGAACCTTATGTGGTTCTCATAAGCCAAATAAAAGGAGTCTGTGTAACTGATGATACCAAAAATAAACTTGAAAGTTAGCCTATACAATGCTGCATATTGTTGTCATGTTGCATCAGCTCACTTCCGCCAAGGTTTGGTGAGATGCAAATGCATATGATTAAAAACAGTTCACTAATGTGGGTTGTCACCATGTTTTTGGGGGAATCCTTAATATCCTGGAGCTCTGTGCCTGCGCTGCTCGTGTAGAGGGCATGGTTATGATAAAGGAGGCAGACAAACACGCAGGACTTCCGATCATGTTTAAAAAAAATAAGATCTTATTGACTTGATATCTGAAACGCCAATATTGAAAACATGCTCAAAAACACTCCCACTGAAGTGCTATAATACACTTAACTGTTACTTGTATCTGCCATACAGTACATCAGTAGTTGCATCGTTTTACAGTCACGCTTTTACAGTGAAATCCTCATATTTCCTGTGCAGTCCTGCCTCTCTCGTGCGCACTTGACGCACCTACTCCACACGGCTGCGCATCCCTGGACGGAGCTGTCAGGATAACTTAACGGAGCAGGACACACGCTACTACAACTGCTGTCAACTGACCACGGCTACCGAGGAACGTTTATACCCTAAGAGACAGGGGCCAGGTTCAGTTCTGATCCGGGACGCGAGCGGCCACAAAAACACGCTTGAAACTGCGGTTGGTGCTGGAAGCGACTTGTTGTGGAGTTTGGTGTGATTATTGTTCACTTTCCACGCTGCAGACGTTATTTAGAAACACGACTGATGCTGTTGGAGTAGTTTATAAAACTGGCAACTGCTGATTTCACAGCAGGGTTATTTGAGTTACAAAAAGAACCCCATGTACTTTGGACTTGGTGTGGAGAGACGCACGTAGCCATAGCGAAACCGTTGCGGGAGGTGCTGCTGATGCAGAGGTAGGGGAATTATTTAGTGAATTTGTGGAGCTCAGTGGCCTCGTTTCACTCAACAAATGAGTTCAATTAAATAACTGACTTGCAGAATCGCCCCAAGACTGAAGCCCAACAAGCTACATCTTCCCGTGCGTTGCTATCACCATTGTTCTGGGACTATGTTAATGAAGGAGTACCGCATCTGCATGCCTCTCACCGTGGAGGAGGTAGGTGAAGTTTTCTTTATTTTCCTGATGCTTTGCTTCTTGCCCTGTCTGCTGATTGCATACTTTTCCACCTTAAATGCGCGGCTCACAGCCACACAGTTGCAGCACGCTTGGTTTGATGTATTGCAAAGTTCAGTGATGCGATTGTCATTTTGCACCAAAGCACATATTGAGCTCCTGCAAGCAGAGTGCGGTCAGGACAGCCACCGCCGGGTGGAGCTGCTGTTGTCTCTTTCTGAGTCTGATGTTTGTGTTGAAGAGAATTCATGCAATTTAAGAGAGGTTGTGCCCAGCAGCAGCAGCAGAGAGTATCCTATGATCATTACTGCAAGTGAAGGACAAATTGTGCAGCTATTTGTGTGTTTGGATTGTGACTGCATGCTCTGTGCGTGGTTGAAACTAATGTGTGTATACTCAGATGGCTTTCTACCTCTGATCACTGCAGCTGTTCAGTTACTTCTCCAAACACTGCTGCATTTTTACTACAACATGCTCACATATCAGGAGGACCCTTGTGTTGTTACTTTTAAATGCAGAAATGGATGCATGCCTTCTATAATGCTCATTTCTTGAAACGGTTTATCTGTTAAGGCACATTCACACACACTGTTTGTGTTTGGAGAGGAGTAAGGTGAAAGAAAGGATGAGGGAGGGAAGCATCTGCAGGCTGAAGTTGCCCTCAGGTCACTGTGACACAGAAACAGCTCCACAATCGTAATGCTGCGGTGTGTTTTGACATTTAAAGATGCAAATAAGGTATATTTCTTGAATGTTCAGTTGGGTTTCACTTGGTGCGCCTGTCCCTTTTCTGCTCTTTTTCTGTTTCATTTCTGAACCTCCACAGCAGATGTTCCAACTGAAGTGTTTTATTGAGTTTTATTATGTCATGAAGGTTTCACACACCATTTAACCTGCGTTAGGATATGACATGAGATGACATAAAGCGAGTCAAAGCACTTGGAATAAGTGTGTTGCCATAGTGGTTCATAGAGTCACCACCATTAAATTGCACTAAGTCAGATGTGTTGTTTGTTGAGACACAATGCTTCACTGCGGTCAAGCTGAGCCCATTGTTGTGTTCTTAGGTTGGGTGAGAATGAAATTGGAGTCATCTGTGATTTTAATCAGAGAGCCATCTTGAACAGCTTCTGCTGAAGTCTATTGATCCTTATCTTGCTCGATCGGCCCGCTTTGTTTCTCTGAGTTTCATGTTTATAATTACCAGGATGCTGCTTCATCACACCATGTCCTAAGGCTGATTGGCTCCTCTTCTTTGTTTCGCTCCGCCGGTGATGGAAGACACTGTTGTCCTCTGTGGCCAGCTAAAGGCTATCACATCTGTCGTTGTAATGATAATAATGGGGGTGCAACCTAATCTATTGATCTGCCGCTGACTTGACTGATGAACACTTGTAATCTATTAATTTTTCGCAGCATGCAAGTACACGCCCGCACACACAGAGACACAAATCACAGAGTCATCATTGGTATTGCAGCAGCAGCCAATGACACTTAAAAGTAGTCAGTGTCTTTCAGTGGGGCTCTCATCTGGACTGGTGCAAATCACATAGTGTCCTGCTGTGTGTTCCTGTGAAAATGGGATGCATGATGAAACACATCTTCACCTCAAAGACTCATATTTTCCCTTGGATTCATGATGAGTAATGAATCATTTCATGCTCTGATGTCCTGGTTATAGGAGTGTGCCATATTATGTTGTTTAAGATATTACAGTATCATTTTCAATAATTATGATAATGGCAATGTTCTGACTTATTGACGTGATGATGTCATAACGTTCGGCACAGCAACAACAAGCATGGCTGAGAGCGAAATTGCTCCCAGCTCCACAGTGTTAGTGAGTTAGAGGCCGTTTACACGTTGCCGGCTATTTTCATAAACGGACATTTCACCGTCTCCGTTTTCAAAAAGATCTTCGTTTACACTTACCCGTGTATATATACACAAGAGCATGCCAAACCTGTAGGTGGCAGTGTAACGAGAAGCTCAAGCCTTCCATGTATCCATTGTCACCATAGCAACATAG